CCATTTATAACTAAAAATATTTTTTAAAAGGAGAGATTTATTATAGAAATAAAAACAACTTTCTTGTTTACCAAAGATCAAAGATGGGTCTTTTTTTTTTTTGCTGCTTGCTTCTTCAACCAGTTATAACATCTTCATGTAAAGCAAAGTTACTGGGCAAGAGCAGCACCCTATGCTGGCTATTTCATAGTATAATGGCTGGTTAATAAAGAAGCCACCCATTTAACCCTTTTCTCACCTGGTATTATCCAAAGAATAAGCCAAAGGACCAGGATCACAAAGACTTATAAACAAGGTACAATTATATATTTTCAGCTGTAGTTTTACTTCTTCAATCATGCCCCCAAATGAGCCATTATTGAATCAAGAATCTCTCTCCACTTATTAGAAAACTCTAATGAACAGATGCTTCAAAGACTAGTTCAAGGCAGTACAGCTACTTGAGAAGAGTGGACCAAAAAAGATGGGGAACATAAGAAAGAGTGAACAAAGGAAAACTACTTTTTTACAGGTTCTTTGTTTTTGCTACTGAGAAATTAAGATATTTTCAGTCTTTTGCTTTCCTTTTCCACATTGTCTCTAATGTTCTGGAGTTTCCTACATTTCTGGACCAGGGACACCAAACTCTCCCTAAAATCACTAGTCCCATGATCTCTGCCAACATTTTCAAGCTCATCAAACAAAGTCAAAGTCTGTTTGAGTTTGGCTTGAACAATTTTTTGCTCTTCTAATTCTGCAAGAAGGGCCTGCTTAGTACATAATTCAGTCTTATACTTTTCCTGTAATTCTTCAATTTCTTTTTGGAGAAGCTGGAATTCTTCTTCACTATAAGGATGCGTCTCCTGACATTTGTCTTCAGGAAGCAAGATATTTGGGGGAATACGCAAAATCAACTGCAAAAACAGCTGCTCCATTTTGCCAAAAAGTTTATCAAAACGTCCTTTCATGAAGCAAAGAAACTTCTCTGTGCATTTACGAATCTGGACTGGGCTAATATCACAGTCTGGGATTCCCTCCAGCTTCTTCATAATAACCTGTTCAACAGCCTGCATCACTTCAAATAGGTAATCTTGAAATGCAATATAGATCCTAAGCATGCAAGTCTCTGGTGTGAAGCCAAAGAACTGGGCCTCATAGGTCATTGGATCCATTGACATCTTGGTTTACTTTGCTATTTTCAATTATGAAAAATCTGCAAATGTAAAAAGAAAACAAAAATTCATTTGGATAAAAAAAATGAAGAAAGTAATAGATCACATCACAAACAAGGACTCAAAGAAAAAAATAAGTTTGTGTTCCTTGATACCTGCTGTTATTTCCAGCCTTGATTGTCCATAAAAGGATACAAACCATGCTTCTCTGAGGCTCTTTCCTCATTCTAGAACCGACTTGCCCCTCTCCTCATTATTCATTTGTCTCCACCTCTCATGTGCTGAAGTCTTTGGCACACAGATCAATCTTCTGGCTCTGTTATCATCTTGGACAATTTTAAAATTTACATAGATGACCTATGAGATTGCCCCAGAGACATGAATTTCAATATCTACATCTCCATTCTTTCAGCTACCTGGTTCTTGATATTTGTTAACTTCTCTCCCCAACAACTCCTACTTTTTGACCACAACCTCCTATACTATTCTTCCAACTATCATTCACATATTCTCATTGTACTTTAATCTAATAACCTTCTCTTTCTTGCTCTCAGTCTCTTCAGTTCTTTCCCCAGTCCTTTCAAGCCTCGTGATCTTCTATTACTTTAAATACCCTATTGCCAGTGGCCTCAATCCCTTGCCTTCCACCCCAGCCATCTGAAAAAAATCCCTATCAAAAGATGAACAAGGGGGCTTTACAACACTGACTTGTTTTTTCAAGGGTGTGTGTGTTGGGGGAAGGGGTTTCATTTCTTTCAAATGTAAACATCTAGGAAAATATCACATATCTCCCTGTCACAATGAGATCAATCTAGACATCTTTGTCCTAGTTGTAACCATATGCTTGTTATAGAAATAAGAGAAGTTTTTTTCTTAACTCCTTTAGATAAAGGTACATAGGGAATAATAACTGACATTTCAATTACCAGGCTAATTTAGGATGGACTTCATGACAACATGCAGGAAATGGTGTATCCAATCTTCTTATAGAAAACAGATACCACTAATCTTGAAATTTTATGTATATAATGATTTAAAATAGAGTGATTGTAACTGTGTGATTGTTTAAACAAGGTAGAATTTCTTTGTTTAGAGATTGTCTACAAAACATTGTAATCTTGATATTATTCAATAATAAAATTGCTTTCTTTTCTATTTTGTAGAGGATTCTCTGAATTTTTATTTTCAATACTTCCCTATGCCTCCAGGATCAACTCAAACCCTCTCAATGTGGTTTATAAGGGCCTTCATCATCTGACTCTTACTAACCACACTTTTTTTTTAAGTACTCTACATGTCTAATTTGAGTTAAAACTTCTATTTTTGTCCTCTATTACTTATCCTTTTACTTTTCACCTCCCATCCTTAGTAGGAACCTAATTATAGTGTTTTTAATGTGTGTCTTTTAAATTCATATTTATCTGTGAATAGATATTTTATATATGTATTTTATACATATACATTTGTTTTTTTGATAACTTCATATTATTATTTAAGTTTACTTCATTTGTTCTGACTAAAGTATTCCATCAACTCTATCACATTTAAAGATTCATTCTTGGGGCTGGGGATGTGGCTCAGGCGGTGGCGCGCTCGCCTGGCATGCGTGCGGCCCGGGTTCGATTCTCAGCACCACATACAAACAAGGATGTTGTGTCCGCCAAAAAAAAAAAAACCTAGAAAATAAATATTAAGATTCTCTCTCTCCCCCTCTTTCTCCTCTCTCACTCTCTCTTTAAAAAAAAAAAAAGGATTCATTCTTCTTGTGACAAACACCTCATTTGTTCCTAGCATTTTCTTTGGGGGTGGGGGGGAGTACCAGGGATTGAAATCAAGGTCAGTCAGTCACTGAGCCACATCCCCAGCCCTATTTTGTATTTTATTTAGAGATAGGGTCTGAGTTGCTTAGCACCCCGCTTTTGCTGAGGCTGGCTTTGAACTTGTGATCCTCCTACCTCAGCCTCCCAGCCACTGGGATTACAGGTGTGCACCACCGTGCCTGGCCTGTTCTTAGCATCTTGCTACCAGAAATTAAATGAACATCTTCCTATGATGTCTCCTTGGGGACTTGCCAGGTTTTTCAAAGGCAAGTCATTGCTAGGCCAAAGAGTTTACTCATTGATAACTTCACCAAATATTGCCAAAATGTTTTCCAGAACATGTGGGCTGATTTACATTCACACTTGTGCTAGATGACAGTTTCTTCCTCATATCTTTGCCAACACTCAACAGTATTCAACATTCTAACTTTTGCCAATTTGGCAGATGTAAAAATGTTTCACACAAGTTATTTTTAGAAAACCAAAATCATCTACCCTCAGACACTAACTGAACACTGAGAACTGAAACTGTCTACGTTCCCTCCCCCCCCCAACCTCATGTCCACATTAGCATGACTTTAATATTCTAGAAGACTAGAATATTCCCACTGTTCAAATGGCTTGGTTGTTCCTTACAAACTCCCTAAAAGATGGTCCACTCTTAGTGGAAACTATCAACAATCTGTATGCTACCATTCTCTAAACTTTACCTCAAGTTTCCATCTATCTTGGATTGTTGTATTATTATACATAGCACACTGTAATCAAGCCCAATACATTGGGAAATATACTTGAAACCAAACTTAGAAGTCTCAAAAAATTCCAATCTTATCCTTCTCCCCTAAGAGACACTGTCAATACTCTACTGAGATGGTGGTCTCACACTAAGTAACAAACAACCATTGTTTAATCAACAGGCTGTGAAGATTTCTTTTTCTGTGAACTACCCATTCATACCCCCTTTTTATTGTAGGTTTTGTTTTGTGAGGGGATCTAGACAAGTTGCCTAGGCTAACCTCCAACGTGAGACTCATGTGATCCTCCTGCCTCAAACCCCCCAGCAGCTGGGACTATAAGCTCGTGCCACTGCACCTGGTCTTTTTGTTGTTGATGATGTTGTTGAACCACTTTCTCCAACCTGTTATTTGTTTTGTTTTTCTTCTCTGTTCCATTGAGTGACAGTTGCCACTGTTACAGTACCAGGGCAAGAATGCAATCAATGGTTTTCTCTCAGCACCAGCTACCAAATCCTGGCCCCACCGCCTAGGGGAGGACCTGTGAAAGTGCTAGCCAACCTTTTATTTGGTTCTTTCCTTCCTTACCACACCTTACCGGGGATTGAAGCCAGGGGGTGCTTAACCACTAAGCCACATCCCCAGTCCCTTTTCTTTTGAGACAGGGTCTCGCTAAGTTGCTGAGACTCGCCTTGAATCTGGGATCCTCCTGCTTCATTGCTCCGGAATTCTTTAGCGTTTTCTAACTTTGTTAGCCCACCCAATAAAGTCTGATGCTCTTAACCTCTCCTGCAATGATTAGGCTAGTCTTTGCTCCGACCAAAACGAGCTATTTTTCTTGCCCTCCAGTAGGCATGCCTTGGGTAAACAGCCTTTAAGGGCCACTGCAAGCACCCTTTCCTGATGACCCACCACACCCTCCTCTGAATTCCCATCAGTTGCTCTCTTCGCAACTGACTGATCTAGTCCTACGGTCTCATCTTCTCTGCTAGCCTTAGAGTTCCTGAAGGTAAGACGAGATTCAGGGCGGGAGACGCCCAGGCCATCTCGGCGGACTTAGATGCTTTAAGAGCTCGCGAACACTCTGGACAGGACCCAGAAGCGGCAGAGCTGGAGAAGCTTCCGGGCAGCTCCCGGCTCCCATCCGGCCCTCCGATCCCGCTGCATGCCGGGACCTTCAGGTCGGGGCCCGCAGCAGGGCGGCGCGGCTCACCCACAGGCCGCTCAGGTCCCTCTACGTGGGGGAACCTAGTTCCCGCCTCCCCTCAGCGAAAACGCGGCCCCGCAGCATTTACCGTAGCTACCATGGAGGTGATGAAGTCGATCACACACAAGCGTCCCGCTATCTCCTTTAAGGCACCGCGATCTGCCAAAGATGGGCGGCACTGCTGGCACCTCAAAATTCCGACTGATACTTGCCTCCACGAACGAAAGCAAAGGCGGGATGCTATCACCCTCCCGATTGGCTGACTGTCGGGTCAGAGTGGGCACCTCGATTGGTGACGGAAAGGGGCCAGAAGGGAAAGCTAGCTGTGGCCGGCGGGGATTGGCGGAAGGAATCGATCTTTTCTCTCTTCTTTCCTACGTTGGAAGGAGGAGAAGGTGGGCCGGGGCGCCACGGAGACGCAACTCGTGATTGGTGGGTCAGCGATTCTTAACGCTCTAGTGATTGGTGGCTGGCCGATTGTGCGGCGCTGATTGGACAGTAGCGGGTAAGCTAAAGCCTGGGACGCTCTGAGTCCGCCCTGCCGCTTGGGCATACTGGCGGAAGGGGAAGTTGGGGGGTGGGCAGGCGGCGGTGGGAAAGATGGCGTACCAGAGCCTCCGGCTGGAGTATCTGCAAATCCCACCGGTTAGCCGCGCCTACACCACCGCCTGCGTCCTCACCACCGCCGCTGTGGTGAGCAGCTGCAGCGCCTCCTTCTCCTTTTCCGGGCTGGATATGACTGGTTCTTCAGGAAACTGGGGTTGGGCCTCGAGGAAGCCCAGAGGGTCTGGTCCCAGGGGTGGGTAGAGGCATACAAGGCACACTCCTGGGTTCGGGGTGGTTCCAAGAGTGCTAATTCAATGGCCCGAGAAGGGAGTGCTGCTCCATGAGGGATCAGATCAGTCTCTGAGAGATGAAACCGGACCTATAGGTGGTAAGGGCTGCGGGAGCCGCCCACCCAAAATGTGTCCGAAAGCTATAGTAATTTTTAGGTGGTAACGTAGTGATTTGTGGGAGGAAGGTCCGCTAAGTGAAGAGACTTAGGTATTGAATATAGAAAAGTATCGAGAGGAAAACATCATAGGGGTCTGTAGATAAAAGGGGCTGGCGGTAGCACCCAGTCCTAATGATGGCAGGGTGTCCAATCTCGTTATTTCAAGTAAGTTGTGTTTTCCACCCATCTGTTTCGGTGGTGCCCACGTAATGGGCAAATTAGTAATAGCTGCTCTTACGTAGACTAAATCTAAAAGTACCATCACCTGCCTGCCTCCTATGCATTCATGTGATCCTCAAGCATTGTAACATTTTTTTAAAATGTTGTGTTATTGAGGATACAAAGAGTTGTGCCAGGTGTAGACAATTCTTTACCAGCTTCTTCCTCTGGCCTAAGAAAGGCTTAAAAGTAATTCATCCTAAGTGATTTGAGAATTGGCACTTGCTAGACCTATTTACTAATCCTTTGTTGTAAGTGATGAAATTTTTTTGATTGATTTGTTTTAAGACGTTCTTTTTCTATTTCAGCAGCTGGAATTGATCACACCTTTTCAGCTGTACTTCAATCCTGAATTAATTTTTAAACACTTTCAAGTAAGTGGCCCTTCAAAACCATAGTTAATGTTTCTGTTGCTTCTGTTTTGAGCTGTTAAGTAGCAAACTCTGCCATGTGGCATCTCAGAAAAGAGTCCACTGGGGTCCTGAGATTGTAAATCATATTGTTGAGGTGTAAAGCAATGATTCTGCAAGCTGGCTGGGCTTCAGAGTCACTTAGGGAACTTTTAAGAGATTCACAAGCTTTTTATCTGTAGAAGCTTTTTAATTCTGTACTAAATCAGAATCACCAGGGTTAGGAATTTTATCTTTAAGGTTCCTTGCATGGTTTTCATGTGTTCAGTTCCTGTATTGGGTATCTCACTGTCTTATAGTTTATTGTAGTTTTAAAAGGAGACTGATTAGCAAGGTGCCCAGGGAGTTTTGCAGGATGGCTTTATTTTGTCCTTCACCACCTGTTCACACCACCTTCTTGTTATCATCATGATTCAGTTCATAAATTCAATTCTTTTTTTAAAAAAATTTTTTTAGATCTACATGCCAGTAGAGTGTATTTTTTCATATATATATATATATATATATATATATATATTTATTTATTTATTTATTTAAGTTGTTGATAGGCCTTTATTTATTTGTATGTGGTGCTGAGAATCGAACCCAGTGCCTCACACATGCCAGGCAAGTATGCTACCGCTAAACCACAGCTCTAGCCCAGTAGAGTGTATTTTGACATACATACATGGAGTGTAACATTCTAATTAGGATCCCATTCTTGTGGTTATACATGATGTGAAGTTTCACTAGTCATGTATTCATATATAAACATAGGAAACTTATGTCTGATTCATTCTTCTGGCTTTCATAAATTCAATTCTGACAGCACTTTTAAGTCAGTTCATCTTGCCCTGTGCAGTGGTTCATGCATATAATTCCAATGACTCGGAGGATCACATGTTTGAGCCAGCCTGATTGTGCAGAGCCTGCCTCAAAAATAAGAATGAAAAAGTGTTGGGAATATAGCTCAGTGGTAGAGTACCCCTGAGTTCAATTCCCAGTACTGAAATAATTAACCTTCCAGGATCAGACTGTAGTAACATAACAGTAAAAGACCAGTATCTAAAACAATATACTAAACAATATATTAAATTGCAATGGAAGATAGTCTTTTCTAGCAATCAGAATTCAGAGAGAGAGATGCATTTTTCTACTTCTGGATGATCATACAGATTATTGTTGGAGAGGAGGAAAAACCCAAAACCAGTAGTTCTGCCCCAAACATAGTGTTCTCTCTGTCTCAAATGTTTCATTTATACTGAGCGTAGTGGCACATGCCTATAATCCCAGTGAGTAGGGACTCTTGAGGCAGGAGGATTGAAAGTTTGAGGCCAGCCTCAGCAATTTAGCGCGACCCCTAGGTTCAATATCTGGTATTTAAAAAAAAAAAAAAAAGTTACCTGAGATGACTATATTACATATGTAAGCGCACTCTTCTATTATGTGGATGAACCTATTTTTAAATTTTTATTTATTTATTTATTTTTAGTGGTACTGGGGTTTGGTGACAGGGAGACATGCTCCCACCACTAAACTATATCCCCTGCCCCTTTTTATTTATTTATTTTTGAGAAAAAGGAAAAAAGAAGGATTATTGCTTTGCTAGTAAAGGAGAAACACAGGGGACTCTGTCCCAAAGGCTGTGATTCTGCCTATCAGCAGGAATAGGAACTTTTAAAGAAGTGATTCAAAGGCTACATTCCATGTGTTCTCTGTCTGGAGTTGAAATTTACTTGTTAATTTGGGAGATAGTCATTTCTGAGATCTTCTGGTATCATCCCCAAAGTCTGGATTACTTCATTCCTATGGTGGGTGTGTACTCAGAACAGATAAATCTGCCTAGGATAGGAATGAAAAGTCCTGTTTCCCCTGAGATTAGGGAGGAGCAGAGAGAGAAAAAGAAAGAAACATGTCCATTTTAAAAATAGGTTGCAGTGGGCTTGCCCCTCTTTAAAATTTTATTTTGAGATAGGGTCTCTGTAAATTGCCTGGGATTTCCCCAAACTTGTGATCCTCCTGCCTCAGTCTCTGAAGTTGCTGGGATTACAAGCACATGCCACTGTGCCTGGCTCAACCTAGTCTTGTCTTCAAACTTTTTCCATAATTTACTTGATCATTGTGAGTTGTTTTAAGGACAATCACAGTTCAAATTTTCTGCTTTTTTAGCTTTATAAATTTTACAGTCCATACAGTATTTTTTTGACTTTATGGTACATACAGTATTTTTCTGACTTTATGGTCGAAGCAGCACAAAAATCCATTGTCAGATTGTGTCTTCCAGTTTGGGATCCGTAATAAAATATCACCCTTTATGGCTTTTCAACCATTGTAATCATAAAATGTTTCCTGCTGATAAATTTTACCTAATCTTTCTTTCTCTCTCTTTTTTTTTTCCTCTACAGATATGGCGGTTAATCACCAATTTCTTATTTTTTGGACCAGTTGGATTCAATTTTTTATTTAACATGATTTTTCTGTATCCTTTATTAAGTGAAGTCAGCATCAAAACTTTAGGTTTACTTAGGATAGAGTAAATTAAGATTTAATTCTGATACTCTTATCTATGAATTCTGAGTCAGTTGTACATAGAGTAGATGGTCAGCAGCATTTTGAAGGAGTTGTAGCTCACTCTTTACATGGGAGGTCTAATTATGAGAGATCATTACTTAAGTTGCTTACAAACCTAATCAAGGGGGGGGGAAAACATTTAATAGAAGCATACTTATAAAATGGTATCAGTAGGTATAAGTAATACATAACCTGTACATGGTCATAATTTAATTAGCAAGAGTTTGCCATGGGTTCATGAGAAATGGAGAACTTGAAATCTTGGGTCTTGATTGCTGGTTCTCCTGGCCAAAAGCATAGTACCATAATGTCTGCTGAGCTTGTCATGTTCCAGATTGTTAAAAGCCATGATCTGGGGCCACTGGGTTGTAATTCAGTTCATCAGCAGTGGACAGAGGGACTTGTAGCCATGGCAGGACTCTTGTCCTAGGATGATTCCTGTTTCTCCTATGTAATACTTTATTCTGGAAAGTGATGATAGTTTTTTCATTTTAATGCATCTTTATTGACTGATGTAAATATAGAAATGCTTTACCTGCCTGGCCTGGAAAAGTAGTTTATCACATAAGTTTTCTTTATGGGGATTTCTTCATGGAAAAGTAAGAATGGTGAGGATCAAGGCTAGGCTGAGTGTGGGAAAGATAATACTATAAATTTCAAAATGTTTAAAGGTGACTGGAAGCATATTTCTGTAACATCTGGATTGGTTCCCCAGCTAGGGACATTCGTAGTAAAATATGGTGCTAGTTTTGGGCTGGGATTGTGGCTCAGTGGTAGAGTGCTTGCCTAGCACAGGCAGCACCACATAAAAGTAAAGGCATTGTGTTGTGTCCATCTATACCTAAAAAATGAAACTAAAAGTATTTACCTTATCACTCAAACATGCTTATAAAAATGAAGCCTGAATGCTTATAGATAATGTGGAGTCCAGGTGTACTTAAATGATACGTTAAACTTTACTTTCTTCCAATTAGTATGATTGACATTTTCTTAACTTGGAACTTAAGATATCGTTACTGTCGAATGCTAGAAGAAGGCTCTTTCCGAGGTCGGACAGCAGACTTTGTATTTATGTTCCTTTTTGGTGGATTCTTAATGACTGTATCCTTCAAAAACAATAGAACAAATACAGGAAAATGTTAAAGAACAGCCAGTCTCTTCCTAAAATATTTCATCTGTCTCCCATGATTCATTAAATATTCTGAACAAACACATTAAAGTAGA